CGATCATCTCTGCGGGTATGCACAGCATTTCCCTTTAATCCCTTGTGGAGGAGATCTGCTGAGCTTAATTTATGCTCAGAAATCCATGCTCTGCGTAATACACTGGGGCACTTGCTTTTACCAACAGCAGTATTGCAAAGACAAAAAGTAAACAGGAGTTTATCCTCATAGCAAGGCTTGCAGCCTGCAAAAAGGGCAGGCATTTTCCTTCTGTCTGACTCAGACTTTCCAGACTGAAATCTTTTGGTTGCACATTAAAAGTGGCAAATGTTGTCAGAATTAACTTTTAAATTCTGTGCTTTAGGAGAGAGAAAAATTTTACTTTAGAAAAAGCACCAGGTTTTATGTCAGCTGTTTTTATGGCAAACTATGTGACTGTCTTGAAGTTGAAATGAAACGTGTGAAAAATTCCTTTAATTCAACTGCTACTCTCGTAATAATCATAGTTACGGTTAAACTTGCAAATGGGTATCTCCCAGGTGCAAAGAGACGATTTGTTTCTGCTTTTTTATCTCAGTAAACTAAGACTCCTTCTTGCCTGCCATTGTATTCCAACCAGCACAGCTCCCGCCCAAGGAAAAGCGCTCGCTGGTTTGCCAAGACAACATTCTTTTACATGACTAGCTCTTTCCTCTGTAGTTATGAATGTGTCACATATCATAGGCTCAGATTGTCTAATATTATGGGAAAATCTACTAGAAGGAGAGAAAAATAAAGGAAACTTCCAGGGAAATTGATTAAAGGGAAATAAGATATTTGACCCAATTTAGTGGAACAAAATATGGTCAATAATAGAAACTATTTAAATTCCTCAGATGGACACACAGTTCTTTAGTAATAAGTTTTGTTTGTTTTGTTTTTTACCACCCCGGAATATCTATTATAAGCACAGGATTTTGGACTCCTCCTCTCGTGCGAAGTGTGATCGTTTGCATTTCAAGGGATTCATGAGCACAGCTTAGTATCAGCAAACATGGATTATATGAAACAAGAACTGTGAGACACTTTGGGATGGTTTAACCAGGATCCATTAGCATAAAAACTGTGACACAGTGTGGATGATACTCCTAAGCCTTACACTCACATCTCGCAGACGCTTGCATAAAGCCATTTTTGGTTGCTGACAGCATGGAGTAAAACAAGCTGCCTCGCAGGTGCTTATGTGGCTACTCTGAACTCCCTTCAATACTGCTCCTCCGCTCCATGGATGCTTCAGCTAAGGAGTAGAAACACAACTCCAGAGATCAATCAATCACCAAGAAATGAGTTTCAGCTCATAGTGGAAGGTAAATGAAAGCAAGTGAATAGAACTAATGTTACAGAAATTGTCTTAAAGGTTTGAAAATAACGATCAGGTCTGCAAATACCAAAGCCCTCCATGGGTGATTCACCAAGTGGCTTGTTGTTATTAGGGCTGTATTTGAAGGGACAAGTTAACTCAGTAACCCTTCATGCATGCGATTTCACCACCTTCTGTGATAGCAGCTCTGTGATAGCCCTGCCTGGCCCCGTGAGAGCTCACCTACACGAGCTGGTTTGTGCCTGTGCCTAAAGCACAGACCTGCACAAGCAGGACAGACGTTCGGGCATGCACAACTGCAGTACTAACGGCACCGAGGTGTGCAGAAGTGCGCAGGCAGGCAGCCGGGCCAGGCAGCACGCTGCTGCATGGACCCATCGGCTGTGGATCCCGGAGACATCTCACATAGCGCCTGTGGGGCTTGCTGCCATTTCATGGACTCAGCATGGAGAAACACCCAGGAGAAGGGATTTTTCTCACCTTTCCAGCACCACACCTACAAGACAGTGGCTTTTTATCCCTAAGTGATGGCCTGTTGCTACAATTCTCAGAGGGCTTTCAAATGCCTTTGCCTCCTCGGTGATTTCAGAACGAATCAACAGGCAACAGGAGAAAAAAGCTGCAAGCTGCTGAATGTGCAGGCTTGTCTGGATATGAGGTCCATTTTAAGGCATAACTGATCATTTAACAACATATCACCTCCTTGGTCCTCCCACACAGCTGCCTGGGGAGGAACTCGCTCCGGATGATGCTTTGAACCTGTGAAATCCCCTCCTAAAACCTGTCAAGTGCTGAATGTGACACAGATGAGGTGGAACCAAATCGCCCCGTGAAAAGCAGATACTTCACAGTTCTTGCTTCATTGCAGCTAATGATCTGCTGACACCGGTGGGAGTTTTTAGCCGGGATCGGCTTCTGCTGAGGAGAGCACTCAGATATTCTGTTGGTAGCAACAGTGCTCTCCAGGGAACCCCACTGGTAGGGAAACAGCCAGTTATCTTAAAGCTGCTACTTAATAAGGCTTTCCCGGAGGGATATTATTCACAGCTACCAGACAGGAGAGATCTTACAGGAGAGTCCCTGAGGATAAGGGTTCCCAGGTGGCCATGCCAAAAAAATGAAAAAGCAAACAAAGGGAAAAAAGAGAATCCCAGCAGCACACGAAGCTGGGACGTGGGACACAAGGAGAAAATGTCACGGAGCCCCAGCATGGCCCTTCTTGGCAGGTCACCTGAGCTTACATGAGACTACGAGCTCTGCAACATGTGCAGATAGTCTGGGAGAAACTGAGATTATCATCTCTAGTGTGATTTAGCCTGCATTACTAATGCTGGCTGAACCAACTAATGTTTTTAACCATCTTCCCAGAACTGGGCTGAGATCAGGAAGTGCTACTGAAATGCAAAAACATTGCTAAATATGCAACATACGTTCTAAATGGAAGAGGCTTATTACTCCAGATCACTTTATACTCTATTTCCATGAGTTCAGAAGAGCAGTCCTTAACATTATCTCTCCAAATTGCCAGTACATCCACTATTCCAAAAATAAAACTTTTTTCTTCCTTGGGGAACAAATATATTTTTTCTTGTAGGACCTTTGCTGTCTGCTATGCAGCCAACATTTTCGTATTTTAATTATAAAAAACATAAAAATAAGCCACTTATACTGGTATCTCCACTCTTGGCTTTTTTATGCCCCTAAGACTCATCAGAGCTAACACATCTCAGTATAAATGCCTAAACATCTTAAACAAGCCGTTGCAAATAGCAGTCATTGCACAGGCAAATTAGGTGTACACATACAATTCGGAAAAATGTGATCTTATTCTGTAAACCGTGACCAGATTTCTGCTTGAACACTCTTTGATGATGGGCACAAATACAACGTGCAATTGTGGAAGCGTCTTAGAAATGCCTGGCTAACTCATATTTGCTTTTCCTGTAGGAGAATTTGAATAAGTGGGGTGTGATCTGCGGGGCTCCCTGCACGACCCGGGGACCATCCACCCCCTGCTCTGGGCTCGTGCCCTTTTTCGGTACAGAGGATGTACGAGTTACACCTGGAGTTTCCCTACCCGAGTAGTTCCCCATTGCAGGCAGGAATGGGCTGTTTCCACTCAGAAAAGAAGTTGAAGGAGAAGCCAGGTGATCCTTTGCCGCAATTCCCTTCCTATCCACAGAAGCTGCAGTTTGCTGAATGTTTCCTTTAGCAAATGGGCCTTTGTTTCAGCAGGGACACGTTTGGGGTGGAGGCCACTATTGTTTCAGCCATCTGGTCCCATAAAGGATCATAACCGTTTCCTATGGAGAAAGGTGATGGCTACTCCCACTATTCTCCCTTCTCCATCGCAGTGCCAGGAGACTTCACTCAGCTGCTAAAATGCTCTGATAGTTGGTATCTTCTCATAAACATTGCCAAGAGATCACACGTACCCTTCATCCTCTCCTTGGCCTTGCCTTGTTTATTCATTTCTACTGTTTTTTAAAAAGCTGCCATCAATATTCACTAGCCACAATTTCTCTTGATTTCCCATCCAAAATCGGCTCCTCTCTTATTCTAAGCAGTTGTTATTTAAGTAAAGCCTGCATCTCAATAAAAAAACCTCACACATGAGAAACTCTTCAATGACTTTCTTCGCATGACTTATGGCAAGACAGGTTCTGCTAAAGGGGTGAGTCATTCAGCAAAGGGAGAGGAAAACTGTTCATTATATATTTGTGAAATCCCCAAACCGCTGAAGAGGCACCATTTACCAACAAAAAGCATCACAGGATGCACATGAACCAGCAAAGTGGGTGGAGCCCTTCCAGAAATGACTGCAACATGGGACGCACCTTGTCAGAGGCCTCTCTTTCTCAGGATCCAGCACGTTAAAATGAGTGGGAGGTGCAGTTTTCTCAGCTTACATGCTTGTAGGATTTGCCCCCCAAAAAATCAAAACTGCAAGTTTTCTTCTGTCCCTCAGGGGGAATACCAGAACAACCTGGGCTTTCCCTGCTTCAGCTGCAGCCTCCTGAGCTGCACGCCCCTTAGCATCGACATCTAGCAAAAACAATAACCAGGATGTACTCGAGCCTCAAAATCAAACCTGTTTTTCCATTTCAGTTGTGCTCCTGCCACGGCTCAGATCAGAGGACTGCAGTCACTCCTTCGGCAGGCGGGACTGGCCACAGTGCTAGGATTTGGCCCAGGTTTGAATTCAAAACCTCCAACCACCCGCCAGCTTGTGGATAACAAGTTCTGGTTGTGCCTCCACTCAAAATAAAACCACTCCCAGGAACGCAGGCAGCTTGCACACTCATGCACAAACAGGGAGAATGTATATACGCCCCTATACACACACCCACACTAGCTCCCTGCTCCCAGAAAGGACCTGCTAGCCAGAAAGATCCAGCAGCAACACACTAATAAAATTTGCAAAAGCCCAAAAGTCCCTTGCTGTCCTCACAAGCTCTAAGCACTGTGAAGAGCCACCTGCTGCCAAAGCTTGTTTCAGGAAAGGGAGTGCACATAGGTGAGAGCCGCAGGTCACTCAAACGGTGGCAGAGACCCAGGCAGCGCAGGAAGAACAGAGCACCTTGCATTTGCCTATCTGAGCACGTCGGGTTTTTTCCCCTCAGTGCTAACCTGGAGCAGAGGGACAAGACGATCGTTGTTGCAAAAGACGGAGAAGGAGAAAACCTCAGGGGGTACTTACAGCATTCGATAGGGTTCGATGCTGCTTGCAGAGAAATGATCCTGCCATTGGACTCGGGGATGTGCACACGGAAGACAAGCCGGACACGGGTGTTCTTCCTGCCGATGTCTGTCTCTCCCTTGCGCAGCTCGATGTCTGCATTTCTCAGCTTCAAAATCCCTGCGCAGTCAATGCTGCCAAACACACACGCCGTTTAGCTTAACATTTCTGCTGTCAAACAGCTTGGAAATAGGTGACAGGCAAGAGGATTAAGCTGTTTTGCTTTGATCTCCAGGTTAAGAGCAGCTCCAAATACTTGTTCTGCTTAGGATCTAGATATTGCCATTTCAGCAGTTACAGGGGAAGAAATCCCAGACACGCAGCAAGCGAGGGATGCTGCTGGACCCCTTCCTGAAGAGTCTGGGCTCAGTGGCACAGCGTGTCCCACGCACATCCCAACCGAGGGCAAGGTGTGGCCTTAACTCTGGGGACAGCCAAAGCGACTCTCCAAACATTATAACCCTGAGTCTTATTTCCCTCCTGTGCTAAGCACAAGAGTGCACACGGCAGTGCCCACCCTGGCCCCCCGGGGCAGGGAGAGTGAACCAGAACAAGAAGTCCACACTGGGGCAGGCAATAAGCCGAGCCTGTGCCAGAGCCCTCCGCGAGCTAGAGAGCATTAAAGCCTCCACCGCCAGCTCTCCAAACAGCTCAGTGCCCAGAGACTGCACAGCAGCTATTGCCTGCACGTGGGCAAATTAGTTCAGCTCCACGGGGCACCACAGCAGCTGAACCAGCTAATTGCATGCACAGTCCAGGCACGTTTTCCCCACAGTTTGTACGGGCAAGCATTGAATTCAACTCCAAAGCAGGACCCAAACTGCTCTCCCCTCCTTTTGGACAAGGTAGGTGCTTCTGCTAGAACTGGGCTCTCCAGCCCTGGCCCAGGTCACCATGTCATCCTCCAAAGCCCTGGGATGTTGTTCCCAGCCAAGGCAATAGCCTGGCAGTGCAGAAAACGGTTCTCTGCTCCCATTCACTGTGTCTCTGCACGAAGGGAGGATGTAGGGAGCAGGATGGGGCTGAACAGCAATGAAAGGATTAGGATTGCTTAAACCAGCATTGCAACTTAATATTGGTGTAAGTGCAGGTTAACTTCTTAAGAGTCCAGCGTAACCTAGCAAACATGCCTGTCTACATTAAGAGAATGTGCCAATTAATATTTACAAAATCTG